GAATCAAATGTGATAATACATGTTGAAGAGCCTAGTACAGGGTTTAATACTTATGAGACACTTGGTAATTAGTATGTTCCTTTCCCATTCCTCTCTGGTTTAGCAGGGTCCTTTCCCTTCTGCCCTTCAGGAGAGTGGGGAATACACTAAAATGAGGGCACACTTGTCACTCTTGGGATTTATGGAGAAGAAAAGTGAAAAGCTTCTCCATTGACTCACCCCAGCTGTAGCATAAAAATCATTTTTAAGATGTGGCACCACTACAGTTCCTCATGAACTGCAGCCACCAGTGATCTGAAGCTTAAGGACAGGATTCCCCACAACACCATCAGTATCTAAGCCACCTTGGCTAAAAGAAACATTGTTCTCATTGTTTGCTGGATGTTCATCCAAGTATTCCTGTATAAGATAAACTCAGTTGACAAAGGTTTGGAAGCTTTTCTGACACAATTGTCTTTGAAACAGAAGTGCAAAAGAAATAAAATGAGATTTACAAATAAGTTAGGTTATTACTAGGGACTTAATTGAATAGCAGATCATTTTCCACAGAATAATCCCTCTTACCTCCAAAACCTTAGGTAAGAAATTTTTGTTGCCTCAACTCTGACATGGGATTATGTCCTCTTTTCTTTTTCCTGTCTTTACATTAGTAGGGGTTAGGAGAAAGAAGGAAGTGGTCGGGTGCCCCTTGTGTCCATACTCTGGGATGTAACACATGATGGGATTCTGCTTCTGCCAAAGCCCTCCAACCACACAGGCAACACCCTCAAATACTGCCTCCAATTTGCCCAACCTGCCCAGGGAATATCTGTCCTGTGTAACTCTTAGGAGTAGTTTGGGCATCAGATAAGGTAATATGAAGTGCTCTAAAAACTCATCTGGGTCTCATGCTGCGTTTTTTTGTTTGTTTGTTTTTTATTGAAGTACAACAAATACACAGGAGGGAGCACAAAGATTAGTCAATACCACCCCTTCGCCAGGTAATTACAACTCTGGCTTCTACCACAATGATTAGTTTTACCTGTCCTTGAACTTCATATAAATTGGGATCATACAAGATGCACTCTTTTGTTTCTGGCTTCTTTTGCTCAATATAATGTCTGTGATATTTATCCATTACATTGTGTGTAGCAACATTTGTGCATTACCATTGCTGTGTAGTACCCGTTACATGCATATACCACAATTTACACTTTTTTTGTTCTTGATGGACATTGGGCTGTTTTTAATTTGGGATCATTATAAATAAAGGTGCTATACTGTGGCCGATTGATTTTTAAAGAATGCCAAGACAATACAATGGGAAAAGAATAGTCTTTTCAAAAAATGATGTTGGGGCAACTGTATGTCCCAGCAAATTGGACCTCTGCCTCACATCATATACAAAATTAACTCGAGATATGCTAAAGCCCTAAATGTGAGAGCTAAAACTATAAAACGCTTATAAAGGTTTTATTATAAGAAAACATAAACATTCTATAATTTTTAATTTTTTTCTTAAAAATATGTGTAAATCTTTGTGACATTAGGTTAAGCAATGGTTTCTTAGATGCACCAAAAGTCCAAGCAACGAAAGAAAAAAAAAGATAAATGGCATTTAAATTTAAAACTTAAAAGTAAAAACTTTTGTGTTTCAAAATACACCATCTAGAAAATGAAAAGAACCCACACAATGTGAGATAAAAATTTATAAATCATATATCTCATAAGAGACTTGTACTTAAAATATACAGAGAACTCTTACAACTCAAAAATAAAAAGACACCCTAATTTAAAATGGGCAAAGTATCTGAATAGATATTACCCCAAGAAGATATGCAAATAGCCGATAAACACATGAAAATATGCTCAATGTCATTAGCAATAAAGGGAATGCAAATCAAAACACCAATGAATACCATTTACACCCACTAGGGTGGCTATAATAAAAATATGGGCAATCAGGTGTTGTCAAGGATGTGGAAAAATTAGAACTCTTGTATATTGTTGGTGGTGTAAAATGTAAAATGGTGCAGCTCCTTTGTGAAACACTCTGGCAGTTCCTCAAAACGTTAAACATAGACTTACCACATAATCCAGCAATTTCACTCCTAGACAATTGAAAACATGTGTCCACACAAAAAACCAGCAGATGAATGACCTTAGCGGCATTATTCGTAATAGGTAAAAAGTGGAAAAAACCCAAATGTGCATCAATTGATGAGTGTATATACAAAATGCTGTCTCTTCATACAATGAAATATTGTTCAGCCAGAAAAAGGAATGAAGTTC